TGGTGCTGGGGGATTGAACCGCGGTCCCTGATGCTTTGCTAAGCTTGTTCTAAGTAGGTGCTTTAGACCACTGAGCCATCTCTCCAGCCCAAAACACTGCAGTTTTGCTCAACACAGATTCTAAAATTTCTCTAGAAACCTGTGCTTGAATAGATAACTTTCTCACTCGTGTTTTTGTTGTGGTTGTCATTGTTGTCTGAGACTGGGGCTCCAGATGGCATTCAGGCTGGCCTGGAACTCACTGTGTGATCTAAGGTAGCCTCAAACTTGCTCTGATCCTCCTGCCTCAGCCTCCTGAGTGCTGGGGTGACAAGTGTGCACCACCCTGCCTGGTTTCTTCTGTTTTTGGTTTTCTTCATTTCCACAAGTTTTTATTGAGAGCCAACTGCGTGCCACAGCTCTGTCCCTGAAGCTTTCCTCAGGCGGCCTCCTGACCAGGTGAGGAGGCTGTCCCTCTGATAGGAATCTCCTTTCATATCAAGGTGACAGGGTTTTCGGGGGGGGGGGGTTGTTGGGTTTTTTGTTTTTGTTTTTTTGAGACAGGGTCTCATGTAGCTAGTTCAGGCCAGCCAGCCTTCCCCACCCCCAATGGTGGATTGAACTCAGGCCCTTAGGGGCCAGGGAGATGGCTCAGTAGAATAAGTGCTTCCCTGGCAAGCACAAGGGTCTGAGTTCAATCCCCAGTTCTGCAAAAAAAAAAAAAAAAAAAAAAAAAAAAAAAGAACTCAGGCCCTTGTGCTTGCCAGGCAAGTGCTTATGGCAAGCGCTCATTCTACTGAGCTATCTCCCCAGCCCCTCAAGCCAGCCTTGAGCTCACTCTGTACCCAGGGCTGGCCTTGAAGGTGATCCTCCTGCCTCAGCCTCCTAAATCCTGGGATTACAGGCCAGCGCCACCAAGCCCAGTCAACGTGACAGTTTGGTTCTACAGGCAGTTGATTCCCAGCAAGGTGCAAGACAGTCTGATGTCCTGCCCAAAATGTCCACTAGGAGGCGATAAATACCAGCAATTTAGCTGCTCGCCACATATTACCGTAAGATGTCACCTCTGAGGTCAGCTGTAGAGTGCATGGTCACCCCTCATGGACAAGGGCCCAGGCCTCTAACGGAGAGTTAGGTTCCAGGGATTCAAGGAGGTTAACAAGCCCAAGTAAGACTAGTGGAGGCGCAGAAGGATGGGGAGGTGGGTGGGCTTCGGGCAGGAGTGGCTGGGCCTGAAATCCCAGGCACACCTAGACGAATGCCGCGCCGCTGAGCCCCATCCGCCCCGCGTCCTTGTCTCTCTGTGTCTTGACAAAGAACGCCTGTCAGGTCCAGGGCGCTCAGCTCCGTCCTTCTGAGCAGCAAGCAGAGTCCTGTGCTTGACCCTCGATGCCACAAAGAAGAAAAAAGCAAGCACGTGATGGGAATGGGGGGCAGCTCTGGGGTGAGACCTGCTTCAGCCTAAAAAAAAGTGGCAGAAAAAAAGGGCAGGGTCACGGTTATAGCTCAGGGACACAGCGCCTGCCTGGCAAGCACAAGGTCCTGAGTTCAATTCCGTGTTGTTTATAAAAAAAAAAAAAAAAAAAGCCTGGGGCTGGTGAGATGGCTCGCCAGGGGCTGGTGAGATGGCTCAGTGGTCTAAAGCACCTACTTAGAACAAGCTTAGCAAAGCACAGGGACCGCGGTTCAATCCCCCAGCACCACGTGCCAGCCAGCCCCGCCCCCTGGTGGGCTGAGCTGGCCACACACACACACACACACACACACACATAACTAAATAAATAAATTAAAAAAAAAAAAAGCCTGTGGCAGACACTATACTCCCTGCAGTGCCTGCCTGGCCCAGTGAGTGGTGCAACGGCCGGGAAGGAGGCTATGCCCAGAACCTGTCTGTCTGTCTGTGCCTGCTGAAGCTCAGAACAGTCTGTGGCCAACTCAGCAAGATCCCTGGCTGGGAGCCCTCTCATCTGGATCTGCTTGATCCCCCGCCCTACATATAAATAGATATTCTTAACATATGTAGTATAGTAGTTCATTTTCTACTGCTATTAACAAAATGCCTAAGACTGATTGCTTATAACGCAGTTTGGTTTTTTTTTTTTTTTTTGGTGTTTTTTTTTTAATTTACTTATTGGTTTTTTTTGGGGGTTTTTTTTGGTGGTACCAGGGATCGAACTCAGGACCTTTTTGCTTGCCAGGCAAACACTTATTTCACTGAGCTATCTCCCTGGCCCCTCTATTAGGTTTTTTGAGACAGAGTCTATCTGAAGGTGATCCTCCTTCAGAATTTATTGTATAGCCTGGATTGGCCTTGAACTTGAGGAGATCCTCCTGCCTCGGCTTCCCAAGTTCTGAATTTACAGACATACACAATGATAGTTAGCTAACAAGTTTATTCAGCTCATGGTTTTAGAGGCTGAAAGCCCACGACTGGGCAGTCTCACCGGTTAGGCCCTTGCTGGGAGCTCAGATGGCAGCTCAGTGGTAGGAGTGTAAGAGATACGGATCACACAGTAAGACCGGAAGCCAGAGTGCAGAGGCGCTTTCTTTGTTTTGTGTTTTTGAGACAGGTTCTGACGCTCCTGTCTCACCCTCCCAGCGCTAGGATTACCTGCCTGTGCTTCCACACTTGGCCCTGGCCTGCTCTTTTCATAACGACCGACATTACCCCTCGGAGAATGACACTAATCCCAAGCGACCTGCCTACTGCCCGGTAGGCTCCGGCCTCCCCAAGTATGGGCGCCCTCACACCGAGACCACAGCACCGGACAGAAGGAAGCCTTTGCCCAGGATGTGGCAACAGGGACAAGGGACTGCCGCAGGCTGGGCGAGACTGGGCTCCAGCCCATCAGGAGGGCCATGGGAATCAACAGCTGAGGAGCAGCCTGCAAAAACGCTCAGAGGGACACAGAAGGTCGAGAGACATCTGCCCGAACAGGAGGATTGCTGGAGACAGGCCGGGAACCAGACTCCCGCTGACTTAG